TGAATTGTACAATTTAAACCAGTGAACTATATACTATATGAATTACAACTCAATAAAGCTGTTAAAAAAAGAGCATGTCCAATTTTAAATGATTAAACTGATAAAACATGATTGGCTCTTAAAGAATATCACTTGTAGAGTACAAAAAATGTCATAGGTTATGTTTGCTGGAATACCCACCTTCTTCTAGTAATCTTAACCATTCTAATAATCACCAGTAAGTCCTCACTTATGCTATTTCTCTTCTGAAACAAGCTGAATTCTCCTCCGTAGAATGGCCATTCTCTAGGCATTAAATAACCTCACCGTGTACATCTTTCTTCAGGCATACGGGAGGATCCTCATGAAAGGATGGAGCCAGGAGGGCAAGTCAGATTTCTGAGGTAGCCTGTCTTTTTGTGTTGATGTAAATAAATTTGCTATGAAAAATTTGGGGCCCTTTCTTTCCTTCTTAGTAAAACTTGCTATATAATGAGATCCAGATTTGCAATCCTACTCGCAACTCCTTTAAAAGTAAAAGGCCCCCCCAAAAAAAGATCAGAGGTCTAATTGTTTGATCGCTACAAGATTGTGATCAAAATTTGAAAACACTTCCTTCCAACACTGTGGCTATGCCAGATTTTTGCTACTTTAAGTGAAAGGCTCAACACTCTCTATCAAAAATTTTGAAAACTCAAATGCCAAGCAAAGGTCATGTTTACTCACGTCTGAGGGGACTGGGAGAGCTTAGACTATTAACTGCTCCAGCAGAAAGACTGCTGCACAAAGAAGAGATTCCTGGGCACTAGTCAAATATGTTGAATACTGACAGCCACAATAATGTGCAGGTATTATTGTCTTCTTGGGTCTGTCATCTAGCTCTTGCATGGCACTATGAGCAATTCTGTCTCTTCTACCTTTGGGTTAAACACTGCTAAACTGACATCAACTACCCCTGCTGTTTGAAATTCAACAGTACAGCCTCTTTTTTTTAAAAAATGCAACAGACCAAGAAGACAAAATTACAAAGGAAAATTATATTTTATACCCTTTTGTTTTATTGCTTTAGGTTATTCCTTATCAACAAGGAGGCAGTTAAACAATAAGCCCTTAATTAAACATCTAGGATTACAAATTTTAATGAGACTAATCGTAACTTAAAGCTAGAATAAAGTAAGCAGTAAATGTGGGGGTGAAGTCTGGCCAGCAAGATGTTCACGAACACTGCTAGAAGCTGCATGCAAGTGGCTAGTCTTGGTAGTGAGGAACGGGGAGTGGCAATGTCAGAGGTGGATCAAGATAAACCCTCAGTGGACCATGGTCTCAGGGAACATCTAGCTCAACTGGCATAACACAGTTTATAAAGACAATGTTCTACATTCTACCTTTGTAAGTAGCATCTCGGGTCTTAAAAGCCTGTGGGCAGCCATCTAAGATACCCCACTGGTCTCATCCCTTCGGGAGGCAAGGGAGAATGAAGAGAACAGGATACAAGGAAAAGATTAGTCCAAAGGACTAAGGGACCACAGCTACCAAGGCCTCCACCGGACTGAGTCCAGTACAGCTAGATGGTGCCCAGCTACCACCAGTGACTGCTCTGACAGGGGATCACAACCGAGGATTCTGGACAGAGCTGGAGAAGGATGTAAAACAAAATTCTAACACACACACAAAAAGACCAGATTTACTGGCCTAAAGGAGACTGGAGAAACCCCGAGAGTATGGCCCCCAGACACCCTTTTAGCTTAGTGGTGAAGACATTTCCGAGGTTCACCGTTCAGCCAGGGAGTGGACAGCCCCGTAAAACCAAATAGGACTAATGAGGTACAGCAGTCCAGTGACAAGGGCCAGAAGGCAGCAGGGGACAGGAAAGCTGGTGATAGGGAACCCAAGGTTGAGTAAGGATAGTGTTGATGTGTTGTGAGGTTGTTAACCATTGTCACAGGGCCACATGTATACTAACTGTTAAATGAGAAACTATTTTGTTCTGTAAGCCTTCATCTAAAGTTAGAACAGCAGAACAACTGGAAGAGCGCAGCTGATGTCACGGAACTGTGCATGTAAATTTTTGAAATGGTGTATCTTTAGCTATGTGTATTTTCATCAAAAAAAAAAAAAAAAAAAGGTTGAGAAGGGAGAGGGTTGACATGTTGTGGGGTTGTTAACCCATGTCATAAAACAATATGTGTACTACTGTTTCATGAGAAACTATTTGTTCTGTAAGCCTTCACATGAAGTACAATTAAAAAAAAAAGAAAAAGAAAAAAAGATAACCCCTCAGCTTGGAGTAACAAGCCAAAGAAATTTAGATAAACTAAACCAAGCATAAGGAGCCCTGGTGGCATAGTGGTTAAGCGCTCAGCTGCTAACTCAAAGGTCTGCGGTGCTCCACAGGAAAAAGATGTGGCAGCACTGTGTTTTCAACTACCAAATGCAGAGACAGCTCTTCTTGCCATCTCTGATTCCTGCCTCTAATTAAAATTGTGTGTTTGGTTTACTTCATTCCCAAAGCATAAACTTCAGCTTTTTATAGCCTAAGCAGTGTGCTATTTTAAACATGTGGAGGAAATGCATTTTCAGTTACAAACATTTGCTCCTCTGAATTTGTTCTCATTTGTTAGCAAAAGATGTGGAACAGGATGTTTTACTCGCCTGCTCTGGTTTTCCTGTATTGCTTAAATCTGTTTACAGAGGGGAAAAATAAACAAATAAAGTATTTCTGCTGGACAAATTCTATAAACTGAAGCAACTCAAAAAATGAAAATGAAAAAAAGTTTGTAGAAAAACTATTTTATTGCATTAGGATAATTTTCTTCTTATAAACCGAATTATTTACGTAGACTCTTCCCTAGAAAAGACTTGTCATACCCTGCATGTGCAGGCTGCAGCAGATCCTGTTTGCACTGTAACATGTGCCCACTCAGACACCCCAGAGCAGCCGAAATCCTCTTGGCTCCGGCTTTGCCCAAGCACAATTATAACTATAAAAGCTTTCTGAGATGCAGTTCAGAAAAATTATCATACTAACCTTGAAGGTCATTCTCTGGATTTATTCAGCAATTCAAGGTAATCTGTATGTGTTTTCATTTTCAAGTACAACTGTGAGGACTTTTACTAAAGCAGTGAGCAGACACATCCTTGTAATCTGTTATATTCCATTACAGCTTTCAAGAAACTAATTTTGAACAAATTTCACTATAACCCTTTATAAAGGGATCAGCAGTTCATTAATTCACTTGAAGATACTTAGCTCTATAGTTCCTGTCGGCTCCTCCTGATTCCTTCTCCACCTTCTCCTCCACTACCCTCTGCCCCAGGAGATGTCCTGTAGCGACCACATCAACGGGGCCCTTCCCCTCAGTGGCTAAGGGGAGTGCCTGGTAAGAGATGGGAAGGAGGGAGAAAAGGGAGATCTGGGTATTTATTCCCTTGGCTCCCCCTGGGCAGTCCATTGCTCAACTGAAGGTCTTGGCTTCTGTCAGGAGGCCGACTCCACAAGGCCCTCTCGGTCTTCCACTCCCAGATCACTCCCCCTCTTGCTCCTTCAGGCCCAAGACTGGTAATGGAGCCTCATTATCACTAGACCTAGGGACGCAGTACTATTTCTAGCCCCACGGTTTCTCACCACTTTGTGAGTTATTAAACTCTCCTTGAAGTGTGCCATCTGTTTCCTAATGGGCTCAAACGTAGCAACAATTGAGAGGCTGGCACAGGACCGGACAGTGTTTCATTCTGTTGTACACAGGGTCGCTATGAGTTAGAACCAATCTGACGGCACCTAACGACAACAACATCTGTTTCCTGCTGAGTCTCCCTAACAGAAATATCATCTCAGCAGATTTCTTATCCTAGAAAGGCTATTAGCTCTTTCCAAAAAAAGGGAAAGTATAGAATGCAGCGAGACTGCCATGTGAACTTAGGTGACTTAAGTAAACTAAACAAGCTGACCTCACTTAAGCTGGCACTTTTCCCTCCTCTAGTTATTTCATAATTATAATAACCTGTACATATGCACATATACATGCAACAGATTACCTTGACATTATTATAGTAACAGAATTATATGAAACAAATAGTTTCCAAATAATATATCCAAGCACCAAAACAAAAAAAAAAAAAACAAACCCACTGCCATCAAGTCGATTCCAGCTCATAGCGACCCTACAGGACAGAGAACTGCCCTATAAGGTTTCCAAGGCTGTAATCTTTATGGAGGTAGACTGCCATACCTTTCTCCAGCGAAGCGACTGGTGGGCTCGAACAGCCTACCTTTCAGTTAGCAGCCAAGCACTGAACCAGTGCACCACCCAGGCTCCTTCTCCAAGCACTAACAGGGATTATTTTAAGAAGAAACACCCAAGGAAGGTAGAAGTAAAAACTGTCCTAGTTGAAACAATACTAGTAACCTAAGTAGAACTTTTGCCTTTATTCCTCTCTGGCAATTATACAGAGGCAGCTTCCATAATAACACTTCAAATAAATGCAAGACACACCAGATACAAGTCTGGTAATCCAAGTAAAAGCCCACAGAGGACTAATTTCAGATGTAGTCTTGAGTAGTGTTTTCAAAATCAGGTGGTCATACCAATAAAAAATCGTTGCCATCGAGACGATTCCGACTCAGCAACCCTACAGGACAGAGCAGAACTGCCCCATACAGTTTCCAAGGAGTACCTGGTGGATATGAACTGCAGACCTTTTGGTTAACAGCTGTAACTCTTAACCACTATGCCACCAGGGTTTCCTAGTGGGTCATGATACCTTTTAAAAAGACACTACACACAATAATGTAAAACAGAAATTATCATGGTGCATCACATAGGCTAAAATCAAACAAGAAACTTTGGTTAATTTTTCTTTCCTACTTCCATTCTGGAAAGTATTTCAGCAAGAAGACAGAGCAGCAGCGTGCTTCCGTGTCTCAGGAAAGGAGTCATGACAGCTACACTCACAGCTGGTCCTTGTACTAAGAGCAGCTTCTCCAACATGCCAGGTACTGGGGCTGAGGCACAAATACTCACCCTGACCCTGCAGGGAGTGAAGGCAGAGCTGAAGGGGCATTTGCCTGTGGTTTCTCTTTCTCACTTTGCTTAAAGAAGGATTTGGCTTCTTTAGATGTAGCATCCACTTCCTTAGCCACCCTGTACCAAGGAAAAAGACATCAAGTTTATAACAGGAATAAAGAGAGAGAAATAAAATCTACAAAAAGGGACTAAGTGACAACTTGGAACACACTCATTGGGCTTTCAATAAATTTTTGTTTTTTTTTTTCAAAATTCTACTTCAGATGAAGGTTTACAGAACAAACTAGCTTCTCATTAAACAATTAGTACATACATTGTTTTGTGACATTGGTTAACATCCCTACAACATGTCAACACTCTTCCTTCTCAACCTTGGGTTCCCTGTTACCAGCTTTCCTGTCCTCTCCTGCTTTCTAGTCCCTGCCCCTGGCCTGGTGCGCCCCTTTAGTCTCATTTTGTTTTATAGGCCTGTCTAATCTTTGGCTCAAGGGTGAACCTCAGGAGTGACTTTATTACTGAGCTAAAAGGGTGTCAGGGGCCCTACTCCTGGGGCTTCTCCAGTCTCTGTCAGGCCAGTAAGTCTGGTCTTTTTTTGTGAGTTAGAATTTTGTTCTATATTTTTCTCCAGCTCTGTCCGGGACCCTCTATTGTGATCCCTGTCAGAGCAGTCAGTGTTGGTAGCTGGGCACCATCTAGTTGTACTGGACTCAGTCTGGTGGAGGCCATGGTAGTTGTGGTCTATTAGTCCTCTGGACTAATATTTCCCTTGTGTCTTTAGTTTTCTCCATTTTCCCTTGCTCCTGAAGGGGTGATACAAGTAGAGTATCTTAGATGGCTGCTCACAGGCTTTTAAGACTCCAGACGCTACTCACCAAAGTAGCATGTAGAACATTTTCTTTATAAACTGTGTTATGCCAATTGAGCTAGATGTTCCCCGAGACCATGGTCCCTATAGCCCTCAGCCCAGTAATTTGCTCCCTCTGGCTGCTGAACTTTATGATTAAAGTTTACTACCACAGTTCTACAAAAACATATTTTCCCTACTAACATTTACAAATGAATGATAATGCATGTAAATTTTATCTCCCTAAAGCCCTCCCCTATTACTTCTGTCAGTAAAAACTCTAGTAGTCACTACTGAATCACAACCCATCATGAGCTACTGATTTGAAAGCTGAAATGGCCTCACACTCTACTTCATCTGTAGCTTAGTACTCAGACTTACACACCCAGTAAAAGAGCAAAAAGCAAAAGTTGAGATATTTGACAGAAAAACACCTGCATTATATCAAGGAGAAAAACAACAGTACAAACGACTGGATGTATTCAAACAGAAGGTTCCTGCTCTATATCTAAACAACCCAAAGATGAAACAAAATCCCTTAAAACTGGCTAAATTAGCAAAAATTTGGGAGTGGAAGAAAGCAACGTGCCTAGAAATTTTGTCCAGTTTCAAATCCGGAAAAACTGCCCTCAAAAAAGTTGAGTGCTAAAGGACAAATTAAGGATATTTATGACACCTAAGATTTGAGATAAAGAGAGAAGGAGAAATGCCCAGTCTCAATACCTGCCTAGGCTTGCCAGGTCAACATAAACATCTGGAGAATTTTGTTTAAAGTCCAATCTATCTGTAATAGGATCCAAGATGCTTACTGTTGTATACCACTAGGTTGTGGGGTGGTTTGTTACACAGCATTACTGTAGAAACAGCTGACTGACAAACTGAAACCTAGGGGTTAAATTACCTGTTCAAGACTATCCAGAGATTACACAGCAATGCTAGAGAGAACCCTGTGGCAGACCGCATTTTTTAAAAAAATGGCTATCACACTATTTCCCATCCCACATGCTCTTCCCAAACCTACCACTCCCCCAACAAGAGCGGAAGTCTACATTACCATCCCTTGAATCTGGGTAAACCTCTGTGACTGGCTGGACTCACAGGGTTCACTGGAAATGGTACTACATGACTTTTTAAGACAGAACCTCAAACAGTTTTGTATCAAAATCCTGCTTCCTTTGCTTGGCTTCCTCCCCCACAGCTTTGCATTAAAATCCTTCTTTGCTGACATAACTTGTATGAATGTTGCTGACATAACTTGTATGAATTCTCTACTTGTAAACCCCTTAATTAAGTAACTTTTCCCCTTGTCCTTGGGGAGCAGTCTTGGCGGCAGCAGCTTCAACTGACTCCTTTTCCTTGCGCAATAAAATAAAGATACATTTCCTGCTCTCCCACCTCAGTCTCTTGTTTATTAGACAATTCAAGCCACGCTGAGCAGAGCGTGGGGTTTTCTACCAGGTAACATTTCTGGTGAGCCAGCCAGAAGCCATCTGCTCGGTTCCTGAGGTGGATCGGACAACAGACTGGCCCCGATGTCTGGCGCCACCAGGGGATTTTTCCTGGATACCTCGGAGCAGCTCTGGAAGCTGATCTGCCTCGGTCCAATGGTGGTTCCTCAGTGGGAGACATGAAACGTGCCTGGGTTATTTTGTAATTCCTAAGTAGGGCCTTAGAAGAGTCCTAAGAAGCAGGAGGAACTGACCACTGAGGGCATAAAAGGCTGTAGGTACCTGTGAGAGTGGTGCAGCAGATTAGGTCACCTAATCTTCAACAAAGGTCCAAAGTCCATCAAATGGGGAAAAGACAGTCTTTTCAACAAATGGTGCTGGCAAAACTGGATGTCCTACTGCAAAAAAATGAAACAGGGCCCATACCTCACCCCATACACAGAAACTAATTCAGAATGGATCAGAGACCTAACTATAAAACCAAAAACTAAAAAGATTGTACAAGAAAAAATAGGATCAACGCTAGAGGCCCTAATACACAGCATTAACAGGATACAAACCATAACTAACAACAAACAAACTCTAGAAGATAAGCTAGGTAACTGGGATCTTCTAAAAATTAAACACTTATGCTTATAAAAAGACTTCACCAAAAGAATAACGAGAACCTACAGACTGGGAAAAAAAAATTGGCTATGACAAATCTGACAAAAGCCTAATCTCTAAAATCGAGAGGAAAATCCAACACCTCTACAGCAAAAAAGACAATCCAATTAGAAAATGAGCAAAGGATATGAACAGACACTTCACCAAAGAAAACATTCAAGCGGCTAACAGACAAATGAGGAAATGCTTGGGACCACTAGCCACTAGAGAAATGCAAATCAAAACTATAATGAGATACCATTTCATCCCAACATTACTGGCATGCATCAAAAAAAATGAAAACATCAAATGTTGGAGAGGCTGTCGGGAGATGGGAACTCTTATGCACTGTTGATGGGGATGCAAAACAGTACAACCATTTTCGAAAACAATATGGCACTTCCTTAGAAAGCTAGAAATAGAAATACCATATGATCCAGCAATCGCACTCCTAGGAATATATCCTAGAGAAATAAGAGCCGTCACACAAATAGACGTACGCACACCCATGTGCATTGCAGCATTGTTCACTATAGCAAAAAGAAACAACCTAGATGCCCATCAACAGATGAATGGATAAACAAACTATGGTACACACACACAATGAAGTACTACGCAACAATAAAGAACAATGATGAATCTGCGAAGCATCTCACAAACATGGATGAATCTGGAGGGCATTATGCTGAGTGAAATTAGTCAGTCGCAAAAGGACAAATATTGTTTGAGACCAATACTACAAGAACTCGAGAAAAGGTTTAAACACAGAAGAAATCGTTCTTTGATGGTTATGAGGGTAGGGAGGGAAGGAGAGGAGAATTCACTAGATAGTGAATAAGAATCATCTTGGGTGAAGGGAAGGACAACACACACTACAGGGGAAGTCAGCACAACTGGGCTAAACCAAAAGCTAAGAAGTTTCCTGAATACAACCAAACACTTTGAGGGATAGAGAAGCTGGGGCTGGGGTCTAGGGACCATGGTTTTGGGAGACATCTAGGTCAACTGGCATAACAAAGTTTACTGAGAAAATGTTCTGCATCCCACTTTGGTGAGTGGCATCTCGGGTCTTAAAAGCTTGCGAGTGTCACCTAAGATACATCAATTGGTCCCAACCCACTTGGAGCAAAGAAGAACAAAGAACACCAAAGACACAAGGAAAATATTAGCCCAAGAAACAAAAGGGCCACATAAACCAGAGACTCCATCAGCCTGAGACCAGAAGAACAAGATGGTGCCCAGCTACCACCAATGAGCACTCTGACAGGGAACACAACAGACAGTCCCTGACGGACCATGAGAAAAGTGTGGTGCAGAACTCAAATTCACATAAAAAGACCAGACTTAATGATCTGACTGAGACTGGAGGGACCCTCAAAGCCATGGCCCCCAGACACTATGTTAACCCAGAACTAAAACCATTCCTGAAAGACAACTCTTCAAAGACTAGACTGGACCATAAAACATAAAATAATACGCGTGAAGAGTGTGCTTCTTAGCTCAAGCAGATACATGAGACCAAATGGGCGGCTCCTGTCCTAAGGCAGGATGAGAAGGCAGGTAAGGACAGGAGCTGGTTGGATGGACACAGGAAACCCAGGGTGGAAGTGGGGGTGTGCTGTCACATTGTAGGGATTGCAACTAGTGTCACATGAAAGTATGTGTATAAAATTTTGTATGAGAGATTAACTTGAGCTATAAACTTTCACCTAAAGTACAATTAAAAAAAAAAAAAAAAAAAGATTTCCAGAACTCTTCTGTAAAACAGCTGATGGGTTCACAAAGACTGCGGCTGCTCAAGAATCACGCAGAACAGAAATTAATTACATAAGACGGAATAAAAGAATACTATGGGTTTTATGTGGGAATGCTGCTGAAGTTTTAAGGTCCTACTTTCTGGATATAAGAAACTGTTTTCTCTTCTCCCAAATTATCTAACTAATGGGTTTAGATATTCTAACGCTTGAATTAGAAGTTCTTATTGGTAAATTTAGCAAAGTTGTAAATATCATAACCAGACAAGTGTCTGAAATTCATTCGAGTTATCATTTCACAAAATAGAATAGCATTAGATTTCCTATTAGTTCTCTCAAAAAAGTTCTGTGCCACTTCTGCTTCTGAGAAAGTGACCTATGACTGTTAACAGGTAAACCAAGGAGGGGCAGCTCGCCCTTGAGAAG